ACGCACTTCTCATCATTCAGTCGGGCATACAGGTAAGTCTGGGGATAAGACCTTAAGCACACATCTCCACCGATCGCTAGATATCCCAACGATATTCAATAACCATGTTTGTCGCGCTCACACCGAGTTTCGTGCATGTATTCTGCCGGGAGAAGACTTAGCGATACAGGAGGCTGCCGTGCGTCAGTCGAGTGACTTAAGACCGACATCTGTCGCATAAATTTAGAGTAAATCGCCCGGATACGATTTGGACTGATGCAGCTCGACCCACGCTCCACGACATGGGCCTTAACCTACGTATCGTGCATTGCCCGTCACATACGCCTGCCCACTCGCTGCGCTGTAATTTTGTTGAAACCTATTCGCAAAAAACGCGCAGCTATTTGTAGAGCGAGATACCACAACAATGCTTGCTTCATGCAGGCTTTTCATAGAAGGGGTTGGCATTTTGTTCAGTGCCCACCAAAAAGCAACTGTATTCGACTTTGTCGCGGTAGGGAACTTGTGTTGCTAAATGCAGCCAGTTTCGATACCATATTTTGCTATAAATACATGTGCCTGATTCGCAGGCACTTGCGAAAATTACGCATTCCCAAAGGCCGTCAAATGGTGCCAAAGCGCTTTCCCGAAGTTATTCGCGACACGTTTTTTTACGCCAACCCCGTTTTGCATTCAACCCCGCCTAGTTCTACACGTACAACAGCTGACAGCTCAATGAGTGCCATCCGGGAGAGGATGACGACCGGGACTGCAGCGCTGATTTGCACGCCAGCTTGACTGCAAGCCTGCCTGGTGTGCATACGGCTGGTATGGCTTCACACGCCAGTAGTCCCATCCTTACTGCGCTGGAAATAATCACACTCAGATAGCTGGATGACGGTTGCCACCATCAGACCATATATTACATGGTCATATAGCAGTGAATTCAGTGCGCTATTCTTGATCATCTGCGCACAATGTGAATAACTGTAGCCCAGGTGTTAGGCGTCATTTTAACACGCGCTCGGGTAGGGGGTCAAATCGACCCTCCTTCGAAGATTTTCCGGAACGGTTTCCGAACGGCGGGAAGTAGCCGCGCCAAATTTTGCATAGCTGTAGACAATTGAAAAGCGAATCGTCTGGCATAAAACATTTAAATGTACCTTGGAAGGTAGCTGACCTATGACAGGCAAAATTCAGGACAATATTTCAAAAAAGGCACTTTCTAGGGAATCGTTCAAACTCATTCAACAACGGAGTGTTAGACGAAGCCATACATCTCTGAGATACTTGCTAAGACAGCACAACAATTGAATGACCAAATTGCATTGACCTAGGGTCATGTATGAAAGTCAGGTCAAGGTCTAAACCAGCACAGGAACCCCATTAAGCGTCTTCTATGGGCTTCTTTAAGGTCAGAATAGGTCACTGACCTAAAATGACCCAGGTCAACATTTGCGTTAGGAACATATGGCCTTGCGCAATCTTTGTCGCTTATTCAAATGCAAAACTCAAAGCAGTCTCATATGATTCGGTCACCATGACTTTTAAAAGGCCAAACAAGGTAACTGACTGAGTGAGCATGTGACCATCTGCTTACAACAGTTATCTACGTTCTAGGGGCACTTTGGAGACCAACTTGGAGTTTGACATTGTTTGACCTTATTTGACCCGAAGGTCATAACCTAGAAACCTTAAACTTTGACGTAAGTGAGTTCACGTACAGGTCAGCACATCCGATGAATTTGGTGTCCCCAGCTCTCTCAGTTAGTGAGATCTCAGTTGGGGTCAAATTGACCCCCAGCCGAGTTAATGTTAACCTGGTCGCGTGCTATCAATATTATTATTATTAGTAGAAGAAGTAGTAGCATCAGTATTAGTACATTAGCCGCATAGTAAATCACTCATTTGAAAGTATCAAAAGGGATACACGCACTTCATATCATTGCAAGTTTGTTAGCCTTGTTTATAGCCCCAGCTGCATGCATGTTTAAATACTTTAAGCTACCTCTGTGCGGTCCGCTGAGTTGAACCGTTATATCTTAGCTATAAGATAGTTGTATAAGAGTGTTGTTTGAGAACTCCGCGCAGGTGCATTCAATGAGCCAGTTGTGTGCTTCCTCTGGTTTTCTTATTGCTGTTGTCTCTTTATCATTCTCACTAAAAAGTAACTCGCCGATGTTTGGTATCTATTGGTTGGCCTGATGTTTCGGAATTACATATTTCATTTTCGGAGGTACACATATGCAATATACAAGCGACGAACATCTGAGAACATGCTCCAGCTTGGTATAACTAGCTGGGTATAACATTAGGTATAACAAAGCTAAGTTTCATCATCAAACTGTACAGAATCTCAATTCGTGGTGGAAATTGTTGTGAGCATGAGAATTCAGGGGGCAAAACATGTACCGAATGGAAAGATATACCATCTACACTAATGGCAGCAACCGTCCGTAAGTAAAGTGAATAATGACCGGGGGGTTGGTTGGTTTGTTCAGCTCCGGTGACGCTGTTTGATCGTGACCGCCTCCAGAACATCAAGCTTCCACCCGTTTGATGATCTATGATGCTGGTGTTTCTGAGGATGTCGTCTCGGGTTTTGTGCCGGCCTTGTTCTTTTCTCGTGCGCTCTTTTGGCGCACCGTCAGGTAAATACATCGTCGACCGCCTTGGACGTGTGGTGACAGTGACACCAACCTAGTTTGATTGCTTTAGCAGTCTACAACTTCATGTGCCACAGCGAAGATGGCAAGCCTACGTTGGCTCATTTCAAGAGTCAGATGTGACCGTGAGGCTATTTTTCATGATGAGTTGGGTGGCCTCTCTATTTTTATAGTGGATGGTGAGCGTTATCTTGCCGCCCTGGCTGGCTGGCTTGACGTTGTCAGCTACTATGTCGTTCAGGATACGCTCGCATGTCCTATGACTCTGAGACGGTTGCTTCTGACAGCGATTATTGATTTGATTCGATCGATGTTTGATGGCATCAGTTTTTGTCTGATATCGTGACATAGAGCTGCTGATCTTATGATCGATGGCACTGTTGAAGAAGCCGTCATTAAGAAGGACTTGTTTGATGCGATGCAGTTTAGAGTGTGGTTGCGTCCAATCAGAGCACAATTTGAAGGCTTTTCGGAGATTGGTGGTGCACCTTTCGTGCAGGAGATGACAAACTCTACCGACAAAAGAATGTAATGGCCATGAGGTATCCAATGGGAACACTTTCTGCAACGCCAGCATGTGCCATGTGGGAAACAAAGTCCTTCGAAATGCATCCCTCTGTCCCACACTTTACCCACGATATGTCCACGACATTTTTGTACTCGTCAGTGACAAAAGCGAACTGATTGAATTAAAGCAAAACAATGCGGCGGAACAAGTTTCAGTTCTCCGGTTCACCTACGAACTGAGGGTCACTAACTGCATCCCGAGTTTAAGCATAGACATCACTGTTGACCAAAAACGACTCGTGACAACAGTGCACAAACAGCCAGCGGATGCTGGACCATGCCTCAGTGCCACAAGCGAGTGCCAAATAGTTGCAAAACCAGTGCAGTGCTCTCCTACCTCCGAAGATCCTTCAAACTCTGCCCTGATTAGACGCAACTACACGGTGAACTGCATCGCATCAAACGAGTCTTTCTAAATGATGGCTACTCCAACAGTGCCATCGACCATGAGATCAGCAGCTCTATGTCACGATATCAGACAAAAACGAATGTCATCAAACATCAACCAAATTAAATCAGTAATTTCTGTTAGAAGCAAGTGTCTCAGAGTCATAGGACATACGAGCGTATCCTGAACGACATAGTAGCTGACAACGCCAAGCCAGTCAGCTAGGGCGGCAAGATAACGCTCACCATCCACTATAAAAATAGAGAGGCCACCCAACTCATCATGAAAAATAGCCTCACGGTCACATCTGACTCTTGAAACGAGCCAACGTAGCTTGCCATCTTCTCTGTGGCACATGAAGTTGTAGACTGCTAAAGCAATCAAACTAGGTTGGTGTCGCTGTCACCACACGTCCAAGGCGGTCGACGATGTATTTACCTGACGGTGTGCCAAAAGAGCGCACGAGAAAAGAACAAGACCGGCACAAAACCCGAGACGACATCCTCAGAAACACCAGCATCATAGATCATCAAACGGGTGGAAGCTTGATGTTCTGGAGGCGGTCACGATCAAAACAGCGTCACCGGAGCTGAACAAACCAACCAACCCCCCGGTCATTATTCACTTTACTTACGGACGGTTGCTGCCATTAGTGTAGATGGTATATCTTTCCACTCGGTACATGTTTTGCCCCCTGAATTCTCATGCTCACAAAAATGTTCACCACCTGTTTGAGATTCTGTACAGTTTGGCGATCAAGCTAACTTTGTCATACTTAGCTTTAATACCCAACTAGTTATACTAAACTGCAACATGCAATCATATGTTCGTCGCTTGTATGTTATGTGTGTGTGTGTATTTGAAAATGCAACATGTGATTCTGAAACGTTGGGCCAACCAATAGATGCTAAACATAGGCGAGTCACTTTTTAGTCTGAATGATAATCTTTTGGAATAAACAATCGTAATAAGAAAAGAAGAGGAAGTTCAGAAATAGCTTATTAAACGCACCTACGAAGAGGTCTTTAACAACACCTGTGTGGAATATATATATATATATATATATATATATATATATATACATATATATATATATATATATGTATATGTATATATATGTATATATATATATATATGTGTATATATATACATGCATAGCTTCTATCACTATGTACGTAGCTGCTTGCCACCATATAGCTATATATAGCTCGTCACCCTTGGAACAAATATATGCATTAAGCAAGCCTCTTGCGTTGGTGCATCTGCCTTCCAACCAGCGTTTCAAAGTTCGTTCATGAATGTTAGATGTTCTGCTTGCTTTTTCCTCTTCACTGTTCATGTTCATTGATTTTGATCACATTGTATCGCATGCAAGTTAACGCTTTGATGTGAAAACACAATTTTTACTTACGAAGCATGTATACGAGTAATAACAATGACTGAATTAACACGTGGGTATGACAAAGGCATTGTGACAAACAGTCAGAGGCATTTTACGTGATGTAAAAACGGGGCAAAGTTGCTGCTGAACTTAGTAATCTGACTCACAACAGGAACAACTACACGAATCAGACCCCATGTCTCCTGCTGGATGATTGTCCTTTCTTGCGTCTTCCACGTGCTCAACAAAGTCATCTTCATAAAAACGTACCGTTGGCTTATGTTCAGAACGCCCTGGAATGTAAACACGATTAATTAGGACTTGTACTCAATGGAGACATGAAATCTATGGCAGGTTATAGGTAATGTCAACTTGGTGGATATTTCTAGCTTAAATGTCATTCGATGTTCCCAAAAAACAGAGAGCCGATTGTTTCGCTCCACCCTGAATGCATATGGAGTTGCTTCAATTAGAATATAGATCAACGAACATTTGAACGATGATATTTCTCCCACGAAGGCGCTGCTTAGGTGATAGGCACCAGGGCAGCAGCTCTTATCCCCCCCACCCCACCCCCCACCCCCACCCCCACCTCAACCTTCCCTAATGTGCGCTAACGGATCGCGGGCATGCCCATGTGTATTAGCCGCTAGGACTATTACCATGCAACTTGTCGTGGACTGTCGGACTTTGTGTAATAAAAAATACGTCCAAAGCAACGAAGATATTGAACTTCGCTTGCCGTCTGGCAAAAGCATTAAACAGGAGTGCTGTGCTGCTATGCTGCTTGGATTGCATATCAGCTATCGGCACCAGCATCAGCAGAAGAAGAAACTAAAACACAGGGAATACCAAATGAAAATTCTTACTTCGTAGTATATCATCGATCAGCGTTTGTATAGACAGGATCATGAGGGTGACCGAAAGAAGTCGGTCAAATTCCTTCTCTTCAGACGACATCTCAATATTTGCATCCATATATCACAAATAACATGCACAAGTATTTATGTAAAAGGAGAAATATATGGCGGAGAGGATGTTTGCAACAGCTATGTAAAATACTCCAGTTATTGTAAACCATATACGTACTGAGAATTTACCAGACTGCTTCACTAGAAAGAAATATCCGATTGACCGATTTAAGCCAAGATCAACGACAAATATGAGTAGAAATTAAGCGACTGCACGTTGCATTTAAGGAAGCTGCTGCCACGGAGAATTTAGCTTTCATGTTGAGCTGGAAGTTCTTCTGGAAATTTGGTCAACATTCGACCTCTTCTATCGGGAGAGGTACGTTAAGTGCACTACAAGCCAGCATTGGTCATATCGATAACACAGCCTTGGCGTCTTGAGTTTATCAACAAAGCCAATGATTGGTTGATAATGTACTTTTGCCGGTGCCGTCCCGTTTATTGAAGTACGGTTCCTTTCAGAATAAGAACTATCGATTCACGTGGCCGAAAAACCGAGAGCTGCTGCATGCCTTTATCAAAACGAACATGAGTAGCAAGTTCAATGCATCCATTTCTCCTCTTTCATGCTTGTTTTTCAAGAAGTATGGCCAACAGTACGGACCTTAGCTCAGAACCTTGTCAAAATTATTTGTCATACTTGATTACCTGTCCTAATGCCTTATCTTTTGCAGCACTGTCCCTGGGCCCCCAGTTTTTTTCAGGATTACGAGTTTTAAGACTGAAAACGGCCGACCCTAACTCTGCTACGAAGTGCCGTTCAAACGGCGACCATGACTCATTCTAAATTTTCCTGTTACCTAAAAGATGCCCGACGACACATTCTAAACTTTCGTCTTCCTCCTTGGGCACAATCATATTCCTTGCTTATTCTTCTTGGCCGTTGAGAAGTTAGTAGCTGCACACCAACAATGACTTCCGGTCTAGTGAACTATAGATCTCTTATTTTGCCCATTCTGCGCTTAGCTATTTTCCATTTATTTGCCACGCACATGTAATATTATCACTTAATTGCTATGGCCTGCAGTGCGTAAACTATTGCTGTTCCCACCTATCGATTTATGTAATATACTTCACTTACTTTGGTGTATTGCTTCGGTACTTCTTTCGGGCATTCACCACAGTACACCTCGCGCATTTATGGTACTAAATCCTTGATGGCACTTACCCATTATGGCCATTACCTTCCAAGGAACCTTGCAGACCCGTGCGTTTGCTCACGAACACTTAGTAATGGATATTTTGATCGGTTTCTATCATGAATCTTATCGATGCAAGCTATATACATTAGCATCCATCACCAATAATTTGATGAGGTCTCTGTGTACAGTGATACCAAATTGTCTTTAAATTACATAATCAAACACGCATTGTAATGCTCTTAGATCACAAAATGCATCCCCTTTGTATGCATGCATACATGTACGCGTTTCCAACACGCATTTCCGTCCACGCATTACTTGTTCTGGGTTCAGGGCATCATCTGCATACACGCATAAACTGGTGCATCAGGTCACTTTAGGCCTCACAACACTCGGCTGGGTGCACGATGAGTCTTGTAAGAAACGTCTGCCGGCTTGCCCCCTGTGTATCTGCAGCAGACATGGTACAAGCATGTAAAGCGACGGCCGTATAGCAGCAGAAGTGTGCTGCGTCGAGAACGGTGAAAACCCATTGGTCGGCGGTTCACTAGCCCTTACAACCTTTTAAAAAACACAGACCTTTCTAAGCAGCCATGTGACAACTGTAGTAACGTTTATGGCCATGGTGTTTAGTAGATGCAAAACTGAGCAGTTCAGCCACACGTGGCAGGCACTGCCCGGCGGTTCAATCCGACGTGACAGACGCTGCCCGAAAGCTCTGTCCCGCGTTGCAGGTGCTGCCCGGTGCTTCAATACCACGTGACAAGGGCTGTCCGAAGACTCTGTCCCAGGTGATAGGTGCTTCGCGGCGATTTAATCCCTCGCGGTAGCAGCTGCTGGAAATTCTCACCCCAGGTGGACGGACGTCATGAAGTTGGTGGAATAGCACATGATGCAGATCAGGAGATCGAGGACATCAGCAATGAACCGGTACTGGGTGGAAAAGTTTCAGCGATGCCAAAAGTATTGACAGAGGATTTTCGAAATATTTCGATATGCTTAAGCTCCATGTTTCTTGCGGATTTGTTCGATCAGTATGGCTGCTAACATTGTTCATGGCTAATGCTATGCCTCCGTGAGCGACCGTGTCTCGGGACTGCAGCGTGCACGGACTGAAGAGTGTATCCATGCACCAATGCCAGGTTGGGTTCCTCTGCACATGTAATTTAGAGCAGCACGTTTTAAAACTTGCCCTGTTCTGACTCATTTGACTTGTTTGAATGAAACCAGGGTTGGGGATGGAAGATCAACTAATCGACGGGCACCTGCAGGGGAGTTGGTGACGTCTAGCGTTGTTGACGCCACCGGTGACTTCTGAAAACAGTGGTGGAGAAGCTGGGGCTCATCCAGGGCAGCTGGGGGTTTTCGAGGAGCTGGGCAACACCGCCATGTCAGATCTGATATGACATCGCCACCATCTTATGATCTACAAATGGGATATCTTGCGTTCACGATCGTCGGCCTAAAGGAGGAAGGAAAACATTTCGGAACGTGCGCACGCGCTGCACGCGGTTGGTTTTTATCTCAGCACAAGATGATCGACACAAAGCGTCTCATTTTATCACACTAAGTGAGCAACCACCTTTGGTCATTGCGATCACAAAGAAAACACAGTGTGTCAATGTTATTCCACGTATCCCTACAAAATGGCCGAACGACGTTCATGTCTCACGCGGCAAGGTCAACTATCAAAATCATGCCTGGTAAAAATACAAAATGAAGTGAAGTCCGTATCATTTTCGGCCCGATCGCTTCGATGTCCGTACAAAGGCGTGCCTCAACCAAACCTCACACAGGTGAGACACAGCTATCAAGTGAAACCTCATTCCATTCCTATTGCAACATAAAAATCACTAGGTATTCGTTTCCACTATTTGTCGGGCGTCACAGCTTCTTTCAAAGCCTTGCCATGCTTCACTGGCGGAAGCAGGGGCGCGCGCAATGGTGGCTTGACAACGCATGTTGTAGCGAGCACGCTCAACACCGGCCGCGAGGCAGCGATGGCCGCTGACTGATCTCAGGCGGAGGCTGCACCCTGAAGCAGCGTTGCTCTGCCAGAGCTGTCTCGAACGCAGCGCGCGCGCACAAAAGCAGATTTCTCGCAAGGGCAGGTGCCTCCGACTCCAGGTGGTGCACCTGCAGCATCGAGCGCAGCTGGAAGAGGTACTGGCCCATCATGAATGCGCCGTAGCGAGCAAGCTTGCGCGCCTTGTCGTGTAGTTCGGCGCGCGTGCACGCAACCCAACTGCTAAGCAGCCAGTGCATGAGCTGCCTCTCGCCGGGTCCCAGCTGGGGCGCCCAATGGTACGTACAATCGCGCAGGATCACGTCCACCCTGCGCTGGACGCACGTCACGAACTGGGCGAAGCTCTGCGATTCCACGAAGAAGCCGATCTCGACGTGGACGCGCACCTCGGCGGGGCTGGGGTAGCGGCACTGGCGGAGGCGCAGGTCGGCCAGCGGCGCGCCCAGCATGTACACGTCATGGTGCAGGCGGACCAGCGCGTGGCGGCCGACCGAGCCTTTCAGCACCGTCTCGGCTCCCAGGCTGCACAGAGGCCGGTGGCGGCTGTGGGTGCGCAATCCCGAGTACGTGGTGCCACGCTCGCCGAATACGATCACACCGTGCGAAAAGAACCACTCGGCCTGAAGGGACTCGTCGAAGACGTTGGACGAGTCGGGCGCGGCCAGCACACGGGGGTGGAAGATGGGGCGCTGTTGGCCGGCCTCGCGCGCCCGGCGGCACATGTCGCGCTGCTCCGAGAAGAAAAAGTGCTGGCGGCTGGCGAACGCTTCCATTGCGTCCTGCGTAATGTCACGGCAGTTGATCATGTCGCAGAGGAGGTCCACTTCCCATGGCTCTTCCATCGGGAACAGACGCGCCATGAAGCGAAATGGCGAACGCTGCGTGAACATGGCTTCCGGGATCAGGCTGAAGAGGGTGGCGCTGTTGATGATCAGGTGCATGCTCTGTGCCTTGTCGATGACGTGGTCCAGCACCTGGCGCACCTCTGCGTCGTGACATGTCACTTGACGCAGGTACTCGATGAAGAAAAGAAACTCGAATGCGTAGAGGTAGGCGTAAAAACAGGCGACCGAGTGGCCACGGTAGTACTGGCCATGCCTTATCAACTGCTTGGCGGTCGCTCGAGGGATGGTCGTTGGTGCCAGGAACAAGTCACCGACGACGTGTACGGGACGCCCGCCGGACCGTAGGAACTCCTCCACCGTCGTAGAGCCATACAGACTGTGGGGAGCTGCATGCATGCGCTCCACGTACAGGGCCGGGTGCAATCGGTGCATGACGCGGCCGATCGCACCGTCGGCCGTGTCGTCGTTGCGCGGGTTACCGGGGTCTGAACGAGCCAGCCTGAGCGCCGCGAACAGCTGCTGGCGCCGCTTGCGCTGGATGGGAGGCGGCCTCCAGCGCGGCGCGCCCGTGTCTGGCTCGACAGGGCAGACGGCGTCGCCGATGTCCGAGCTGCGCGGCCTCGTGCCGGCCTCCGTCTCGATAAGCAGGGCGATGTGCCTCGCGAGGAGGGCCGGTGACCCAGCCTCTGAGCGCGCCGGACTCTCCGGGCGGCGGGAGGTCGGCTCCGACTCGGCCCGCTCTTCGGCGGCCGCTGACGCCATCTCCCGCGCCTTCAGCAGGGACGGCTGCGCCGAGCGGGGAGATAACTCGTTCGTGCCGCTTTGATCCGGCGCCTTGACGCTGGTGAGCGGTACGGCTGCGACCTGCTGCTGGAAGCTGGGCACACGGCTGCGCAGTAGAACACTGTTGGGCTTCATCAGTCACGCATTCGTTGCTTCCTTGCTGTCCTTGACTGCATGCGCCCAACATAGATAATGTACTCGTCTCAGCAAGTGAATCCTTTCTTGTAGCATCATGCTTGCTTTCCATCTTTGCAAGGCAGGTAAAACCCGTTCCAGATTAGACCTGGAAAAGAAGAAATGCTTCAACGGGCGGCAGTCATAATTGCAATAAATGCCACAGGTGTACAATCGTGAACGCACGCTCCAAGAAT